CCACCCATCCACCTAGGGCTCCAACAAGCTGTTTGACAACTGGTTGTCTAGATGACAAACTTTGTGTACCCCTTTCTAAATGGCATTGTGTATTCATAGTTTTCGGCCAAGTGAGGCATGCCAATTTACACGTCTCACAGGGGAAGATAACGTACATGATCTAGACTAGCAGCCTCGGGTGTGTGCTGGCGATTAGGTGCCTTACTCTGGGAGTGTGGATTCGAATCCCGGATGGTCTTAATCCCCATTAGAGTATCTAATATATTATGCATATTTACCTCTTTCTCAATTGCATTGTGTATTCACTCGTAGTTTTCGGCCAAGAGAGCCGTGCCAATTTACACTCTTCAGAGGGGTACATAAAGTACGTGATCTAGAATAGACTTCCAGTTGTCGGAATTTCTGTTTGTGGAAGCCTCGGGTATGTGCTGGCGATTAGATGCCTCACTCTCGGAGTGTGCATTCGAGTCCCGGATGGCCTTAATCCCCAATAGAGTATGTGTACAAATTTGTATGTGGAACGTTATGTATTTTTAAAAACTGCTAGTATTTGACAATTAACTAAGATTGTTAGTTGATGGGGGTTGAAGTAGTGTAAAATTATTGTGTCCCTGCGTGGGTATGTGAGCCTGCGTTTTTCAATTAATGTTATGTATACCAGTATTTTATTCGAAGAATATTTATTAGGTTTAATCTCTGGCTGAGTGTCCATAATCACCAATGACTAAAGGAAGTAATGGTGTAAGTCCTGCAGGGGTCCATGCAAGTAACACAGTAGTTTTATATACATGAATTGCCTGGTTTCAGGTCCATCATAAGGTTGTGGTGCTGCCTCAGTGTGCGCTGCTGTTTCTTTTATGTTTATGTGTTGTTTCTATCAGGGAATACAAGATGCCTACGCCATAAATCGCAAAGAACAATCAAGAACGAAGCGTGGTTTATTTCACAATGAAACATTGTTCTATTGTTACGTGTACAGAAATATGTACGTAAAAGAACCTAGTGTGTAACCCAACAAAACAATCACGTTTTATTATGCTTGTTTCGCAGTACCCACTGAGAAAGTTGCCAGTTGAGGGTTCATGGTATGGTAAAGAACCTCGTGGTGAAAACGCATTCAACAAAACGATGAAGATGTTCTCATTAAAGTTACTGTAGTATGACATCGGTAGAACAGAAAAGGAAATTAAGCCACACACTTCAGGAGAAAACTGCGCGTTCCACAAGCTTTTCATCAGGTTACCCTATGCTAATGACAGAATCTAGCAACTTTTAAACCATAGCTGTTGCAAATCCCGAACCAAATATGCTGTCAAAAGTCGAAGTATCCACCAATTGGAATGTCGGCATAGGGATTTTGTCAGCAGTTCTACTTTCAATAATTCACACAGTGCACTTCAGATTCGAAGGCGCGTTCGGGTAGCCTAGTGGTTAAAGCGTTCGCTCGTCACGCTGAAGACCCGGGTTCGAATCCTGACATGGTAACAATGTGTGAAGCCCATTTCTGGTGACGCCCGTCGGGATATTGCGCGAAGATGATAAAAGTGGCGTAAAACCAAACTCACTCACTCACTCACTCACTCAGATTCAAAACAAATCTAAATGAACTCGCTTGAACTTGATATTTAATCTCATAGTTCACATGCATTTGTGGATTGTTAGAAATGTTCTCATACATGTTGCTATTTTTTTAAATGCTTCATGAATTCCGTTATTCAGGTTGAGAATGAAATGGTATATTCTCATCTTTCATTGTTTTGATGTTTCCTTTATTGGGGCTCTTCAAGAAAGAGCAAGTTGAACCCCTGTACTTGTCTGCCTTACCGACCTTGACCTGGGTGCTGTGGGGATGGGGGGGTGAGCGGAAGCATGCTCATGAATAATCTTCGAATTTTGTGATAGAGAACAAAGAGTGAGGTATGTCATGAAGTCCCCCAGCTGGAATATTGCTTAAAGCGGCTTAAAGCCATACTCACTCACTCAACATTGCGTCAGATGCTGTGTAATAATGGCGCATCACAAAATGTACGGTTTTCAGCATCATGGGATGCTATGGTATGATAATAATACTAATGTCTCGTGAATACTATAAGGTCATACAAGGCTGTATTGCTCAGATATTGTAGACATGGTAGACAAACACATTTTTGTCATGTCTAAATATGAAAAAGGGGTATTCCATGTCAACATACACAGATGACTTTTCGAACGTATGAAAGAGAGGATTAGACGAGGTACGATTCCTTAAAAACACATATATTTTAGCAAAGATTACAACTTTCAATAATATTTTACTCTCAAAGCACTTACTTGGAAGAATTTCCGATTCGAATCCCCCTGATATGCCACTGAAACTCCATGAATCTTGCGATCCGGGCTCGAATTATAAGTCTTCAGAAACCCATGCTTGCCGTAAAAGGCAATTATGCTTGTCGTTAGAGGCGCCTAACGGGATCGGGTGGTCAGGCTCGCTGATTTGGTTGAAGCATGATACCGATCTCAATTACGTTGATCGATGCGCATGATATCAATAACTGGATTGTCTGGTTCAGACTCGATTATTTACAGACCGCCGTCATATGGGTGGAATATTGCTGAGTGCGGCGTAAAACTACAAACCAGCCAAACCAACCCTGAATCGTACATTATCTCAATAATTCGGATGTAGCCCAATTCGGTTTGGAGGATTGGGGCCTCCCTCCGGTCTTCCTCTGTAAACGTTGCAGCATGTAGTCCGTTCAGGTTTTCTTGGCCTTTCTTGTCATGTTGCACCATTTCTCCCTCACTTCATCAACAGATCGAAGCGCTTCGCCCTTCATGTTACTTATCGGTAACTTCGCTGCTTTTCATGAAGTACGTGTGAATCTCTCTCGACCAATGACTGAATTATATTTTCTTCATCCACAGAGAAATTCCTATTTCTTTTCATTGTCATTTCCCTTGGAGTTTCCTAAGTCATTGACGCTGTTTCGGCATTTTTCGATACGACACAGTGACGGAAGTACCAACATTAGGAATTCTTTAATAATATTTACCTAACTGATGCTTCAATCAATATGTTAAGCTATAACCGAGTGGTTAGGTAACCTAGTGGTTATCTATCGATCCTGCATGTATAATGTAACGGCTGGTTAACTGATGTGTGGTTAAATATTTAATGGTTGGTAAGGAGTTAACCAGATGTTAAAATAACCGGGCCCAGCTTTGAAAAATGACTGCCACAGGACGGTTTCGGAACCGCAAGCATCACACCCGAAACATTGCACGTTGACTGGACCATGCCACTCCTCCATGCAGGTGGGTAGTGGTCATTTTATTCATTTTGACCCTTCAGCAAAAGGTCGTCAAATCGCTCTGAGCCATGAGTATTGTTGAATTTCCTTACCCACAGTAACGCATACTCTCTCTATTCAAGCTTCATTGCAGAAATTGTGATCAGAATGGGAATGCGTCGTTTACAATGTGATATTGAAATGCCTGGCAGAAGTCAGCAGGAACAATATGTTTTTTGCCTCTTTGGAACAGGATTCTGCAGACATAAAATGTAAATGATCGACCCCGCACAGGGCTATATGAGTCCAGTGTCTGTAGGCGTCCTAACGTCTTGTGAATGTCAACGTAAGACAACATGATAGATTTTAGGTTGGATCTGAAATGACATTGGTTGAGATCACTCTGACTGCCAGACTGCCACTGCATATTGTACAGTTCTACCGAAACAACATACTGTCGTATCGTAACTGACGAGGCACACATATCACGTCTGGGACAGGTCTAACAGACACAACAGTTTCAAACACACGAATCACTGCACCAGTTCAAGTGAGAACACCAGGTGTCCGCTAAATGGGCGGATGTGACGTGGCCTTACAGTTGCAACCGTCGTTAGTCATGGTGATTCTAGGGTAGACCTGGTCCTGAGTAACCTGTGTTTGTTTTAAGTGTTAACTAGGTGAGGTGAGGTGAAATGGGGTTTAACGTCGCGTCCAAGATTATTGTACTTATATAGCAACGTGCATGCAGTTGTGTGTGTGTGTGGCTGCTTGAACTAGTCCTCACTAATGCCGATTGTATAGTGCCAGCCCACTGAGACACTATGCCTCAGTTTAACATGAATATCCCACACAGACACGTTATATTCAGTGTGAGCCGACCAGTCCTTGTTTAGTCTCATAATGTCAAGCGCCAGACAGAGTTGCAACAAGCACCATCTTTTAACGTCTTTCGGTATGACACAGTCGGCGATCCAACCCCGGACCTTCCGCTCTTTGGGCGGAATCTCTACCACTAGACCACGGAGACGGCCTAAAGTGTCAACTAAACTAAATTGGCTGGAGAGAGACACGAGTTGGGTCCGGGTAACACTTGCCAACTTCATCCTTGAAACTTTATTTTTGAAAGCTGAAAAGCTCTGAACCTCTTCCTTCTTCTAACTTCCGAAATCTGTTTAGAAAAGATCAAAAGTTTGAAAGCTCTACATCCCGTCCCACTTTCGAAATAATCTTTGAGAAGCTCGAATTTTCTGCCAATTGTGAACTTTATTTTCCATAGCTTATAAAGTAAAAATTAAGGATGGGTTTTGTCAATGTTGCTTTGAAAATGAATGTGCAATTATGTGATAACTTTGTTCTAACTCACATGAACAGTCTCAATTATTAGCAGTGTAGAGCTTTCAAAGTTTGAACCTAATTCAAGTCTTACCAACTAACTTTGTTTGGATAAGCATGAGGCGAGGTGAAATGGGGTTTAACGTCGCGCCGAAGATTATTACACTTATATAGCAACGTGCATGCATGTGTGTGTGTGGCTGCTTGTTTTAAATTATTAGCAGTGTAGAGCTTTCAAAAATAAAGTTTGAACAATCAATTGTAGTGTTTCTCGAACCTAATTCAAGTCTTACCAACTAACTTTGTTTGGATATACATGGACATATATCATCCATCACAATCTAAGGGACCAGGTATGCTGACATCCTCAAATTGAACACAATTGTCCATACCTAAACGTTTAACGTTTGTATTCAGCAAGACTGCCGTTTGCAGTTTCCTCGTGCATATATGACAAAATCAAATACGAGATTGTTCACAAATGAACCGCACCTCCGAGTTGCAGGGAATGTCATTCCACTTGAAACTATACCCATGATAACTCGTCACGCAATGCTCTTTACCCTTGTGGTTATTGGGTTCACCTGGATACCAGTTGGTGTAGCTCACTACCTTCCTCAGGGGGTGCTCCCAGGTCCAGATGCCCTTTGATCTCAGGTCAGTGGCGCCGATGTAGAATTGAGAACCTTTTTACGAGATAAGACATAGAGGTTACTACACGAGTGTCTGTCAGATACCATTGATTTTATAATGAGCTGTTTCAAAACGTATCTAACCAACAAGAGCCCTAAAATCGCACCATTTTAGCATCGAGCATCATTTTGTCCATTCTCATGATCGCAGTGGTGCATTAATACAGAGCACAACGGTCATTCTTGACGTCAACCGACGTACTGCTTACTACTCATAAATAATGTGACCCTATACACAAATATTTCCGCCATATCTGTGGATTATCAAGGCGATCATGTTAATGCAAACTAGTTTAGATCAATGAACCCGCTTGATTCCGAGTTAATACTTTTCACCTCAAAGAAATTACCAATATTCCATAATTCGTGCTACGATTCTCTTCCCATGACTATTCTCCAAGACGTGAGACAATATATGCAACAATTAGCCTAAAGGATGTCTCAAAAAAGGTCAGAATACTACCCCCTCTACACGCAGCCAAGACAGCGAATGGGACTCCTCTAGAAAGCGCTGCCTCGTCAAACCCACCCAGAACTTTTCGGAGAATGTGAAAACTCCCCAAGACTGCAGCTTTCTGCATTACCCAAATTGCCAGAAGGGTTGTATTCCTTGTAGCAAACCCGGCTACTCTCACAATGTCAGTCAACAGATTGGAGGTATGACACCTAGGGCACCGAGAACAATGGGAAGTCAGACAACTTGGTACTTGAGATGCAAGCGTCACATTTCGAAAGCGAGGTCTGCATATTTTCCATGTTTTTTCTGAATCTTGTCAATCACATTAATATCAAAAGGGACAGAAAATTCAATGATATAAATGATTTCATTGGATTTATCAAAAAGGAAAAGATCAGGTTCGGTGGCCTGGCTACGTCTGAGGCTGAAGATGGGCATTCCAAAGAAATTGGTATTTATCATTTCCCATGTCGTACTCTACACATTCCAGGTCGTACCATGGATGGACCTCTGTGTCAAAACCACAAGCATGGTGAAGACAGTAACAGAATAATCCAGCCACTCCACTATGTTGCGTAGGAGGCTGTGTTTGTGTCATCGTTGATGTCAATAACAATCCAGTCTTCTTGTGACATTGACACTACATATCTGTATGTTAAGTCATATTTACAGTTACCTTGGCCATGCATAAGAAGGTAGCTCCTGATAAAGTCATCTTCTTTCTTGCTGGTGATGTCGGCCAAGTGACTCCCGAAGAACAGGCAGTAGGACTGTTGAGAGTTGTTATACTGATGTAACTTAACTTAAGTAGTGAATTCGGTGTGACTTACAAAGATTAAAAGACTTCTACTTCTACAAAGGTGAACATAGATTGTGGACAATAGTTTAGAGTGGAGAAATATTAATATCGAAATCAGAAAAGTTGCCAAGTTCAAATACACAACTAACCGCATGCAATCTAAAGTGAAGGTACAGATAATAACGATAGCACAAGCTCGTCAAACAACTTGCCATCACTTTTAAATAAAAAGCAATGGGTTCCTTCAATACATTTACAGTACTTTAACATAAGGAATATAATTTCTGGATGTCAACTTCTTAATTTTGAGGGGCGTTCAGGTAGCCTAGTGGTTCAAGGGTTGTCCCATCACGCTGAAGACTCGGGTTCGGTATCGACATGGGTACATTGTGTGAAGCCCATTTCTGGTGACCCACGCTGTGATATTGCTGGAATATTGCTAAAAGCGGCGTAAAATCAAACTCACTCACTCTTAATTTTGAGAAACACAACATTTCAGAGTATATGCTTACTCTTCATCAGGTGAATAAATGCAATGAGTGATAAGACAGCAAAGGGTGGAAACTTAACCAGGGAGACCAACAAATAATTGCCGCTGATGGGTGATTAGTAATAGACAATAGGTGCCAACGCTTTACAGTAATTAGCGCTGATAGTTATGGATAACTGGAAGCCTGGTGTAAATTATCGCTGATTGGTAATATGCAATGGACAATGGGAAATGGACAGTGGGCAATATTATTTCTTATTACTTTTGTTGTTCTTACATGTACATATAAATGGTCTCTGCCTCACAGCATTTATTCACCTGATGAAGGAGTAAGCATATATTCCAAAACCTTGTGTTCCTCATACTAAAGAAGTTGACATACAGAAAGTCTCTTCCTTTTGTGTATCACTTCTCAATGCTTTTTAAAGACTTGACTTCGTTAACACTTTTGGAAGAGCTTTCAATAAGTTAGTTGACAATAGCACCATGCCGAGATTTGAAACAAGCAATACGACAATGACAGACAAGGTTAGGTTTGTCACGTGCGTGGCTTCTGGTACTGGTACAGACTGATGTCGATTTATAGTGCTAGACCACTGAGATACCATGTCGCTGAATACCCCACTTAGACACAGTATACTGACTCCTTGCCGACCAGTCTTTGTTTCAGCCCCTTAATGCCGAACACCAGTGAAGGTAACAACAAGTACCAACTTTTAATGACGTGACCGGGCATCGAACCGCGGACCTTCCGCTCTCCGGGCGGACGCTCAACTATAGACCACGGAAACGGTCTACTGACAGATAAACTTAATACAGGTGACAAAGACCATTTTCTTTGAAATATGTTGGACACATGTCCGGTGGCGCAGATTAATTAAGATTTATCACTTTGTAACAGGACTCCTTTGTGATTTTATAAGCCACACAGTACAATGGATATGCTTGTCCTTTAACCACAAGGTATAAATTACTTATTACAAAGTAAATACAAAGAACTTACATTGGCTTCAGCAAAGGTGGCAAGGTTATTCGAAAACAGGTAGCATCCTTGACCAAGGTTGATAAAACCAAGTTGGCATCTTCCTGCTGAAATGTGAATGAATACGCAGAGATGAATATATAATCCCGCTGTGTATTGGATTGATAAATTACCCACTGTGAACACTGCGCATGCAAGTTGTACTTTCACAGCAAACACGTAAACGTCGTTGTTCTCGTATATGGTCATTGGACGGAAAAACGACGTCATTTGGACATTTTCAAACCATCAGAATTTACTGGGAGAGAACGATTTCATCAAGCTCCTCCCTTTCTTGATTGACATTGTCAATCAAGCAACAGCGTCTACCGGTATTTTTACTTCTCAGATTTCATTGCTCGCGTGTAAGATTACAGGCCCGAGTTTGACGCTGTACTCGAAGGGCTTAGCGGAAGTACTGAAATCGTTCTGCGCATGCGGATTGGTCAATGCCTTGTCCAAATTTTCCGACTTCACGTATTGTTTCCTAGATTTTATGTCAACACTATTTGACAATGATTCATAAACACAGTCTCGTGATAAGTTCGGAATCGTACATTGTCGCTTAAATTTATGGCACGTACTTGATCGGCACGCATTTCCCATTTACTAATACAATGAGAACAGTAATAATTTTAGTCAAAATAATTAGGAAAGCGGAAGGCCCAGGAGCATCTCAGTTTAGGAAAAGGATTTATACTTTCGAAAGTTAAATAATCGTCAACTACGCAAACGAATATTTTTGTAGAAGGTGACCTTGGTGTTTATTGCCAGATATTATATGCATATACATTTTCCAATAAAGCTTATTTTAATATCAATATAAAGTTTTAAGGTTCGTCCGCCTATTTGACGGGATTTCCCTTTCTATTTTGTACATGCCACTTAAGCAGTTCCCTGTTACTGTAAACAGATTAGTTTCAAATTCCAACTGGTGATGTCTATTCAGACTAATGCTTAGTCCCTAAAACTGAATAGTTTTGAAAGAAACAAGTTACTCCATTTAAATTGAAGAGGAGCCCCAGTGATATGGGAGATGAACCTATTCTATGGCTATCTAGGCTGCCACCCAAACCGTTTGTTTGTTTGTTTGTTGTTTAACGCCGCACTCACCAATATTCCAGCTATATGACGACGATCTGTAAATAATCGAGTCTGGACCAGACAATCCAGTGATTAATGTCGTGAGCATCGATCCACGCAATTGGGATCGATGACATGCATCAACCAAGTCAGCGAGCCTGACCACCCGATCCCGTCAGTCGCCTTTTACGACAAGCATAGTAAACCTTTTACGGCAAGCATGGGTTGCTGAAGACCTATTCTACCCCGGAATCTTCACGGGTCGCCACCCAAACCGACCCAAACGGGACCTGAAAGCTTATTGTATGCTATGTAGCCATATGGAAGTGGACCAGAATTATGCATTGTAAACCGGACGATTGTGTTCTTGTATTTCCTTTAAGTCAGGAAAAATATAAATACTAAAGACAAGAACTCATTATGTTTGCAGTGACGATATAGCACTTATACACGTTTACTGGTAACTGTCATCAGTTTTGCTCTTCATTTTAATAACTTAAAATATACATGTTATACCCGACTAGCCCGTCATACATAATTATGGGGCAGTTTTCAATCTTGTATTGACGTACTCTGGTTTTCCTGAACGAAGTTTATTGGCTTGGGTGTTATACCTCGTTTTTTTCTGGTAATCCTATTATTAGTTTATTTTTATCTAATGACACCCTGTTCTCTGGATCACGGCTCAGGGACTATCCATAACAATTAAGATGAACATTCAGTTCAAGTAAATGAATGAGTTTGTTTTGACGCCACAATCAGTCAAAGACCAATGCTGTGAGGTTTGATTACACACTTCTACCAGGTCGTGCATCGTGGATCCTCATTTTCTACCTAAAAAAAATCATAGTTCATATGCTAATGCATTTACCATCCAGCTCAAGATGACCTTTCTTCATCTCTCACTAGCTCCCGAGAGATCAATGGTTAATAAAGATTGGATGTCGGAATATCAACACTCCTATCAGCAACTCCGCCGCTCTACCGCAGAATGTTCGTCCAACTCTGCAGGGGGCATTCTAAGTAGCTGAAATGTTTTCCCCTTGCATCCAAGACTTTGGACAAGTGAAATCGTATGATATGTGGCTATTTTAGGTCACTATCAATAACAATTAAGATGAACATTCAATTTCCTATACAAGTAAATGAATAAGTGTGTTTTACGCCACAATCAGTCAAAGACCAACGTTGTCCGGTTTGATGACACACAATCTATCAGGTAGGACATTGTGTTCGCCCGATCCCTATTTAAGTCTCCTCTGTGGATATTCCTGGTGCCGACAAGGCCCAATGTACCTGGGAATCCATTAATACATTCTCTACCTTAAGAAGATCATAGTTAACATGCTTATCCAACTCAAACTACCATCCCGCTCAAGATGAATGTTTTATGTAATATACAACAGGCTCACATTTACACACACACACACGCACGCACGCACAAACACACACACATTTTGAGTTCCCAATCCCTGAATTGAGAAGACGTGCGTTCCGAAGCTCTTCCAAGTCGTCATCAATATCCGTAAATGTCTGCGATATTATTACCCATCAAAAGACGAATATACATTTATTGTGCTATCTTGACAACAAATGTTATAATTGGGATAACACTTTCTTAGTAAAGTACAGATTCTCGTATGTTTTGGGGTTGAGTCCCATTGTGCGAGTCTCGAACAGGTACATACATGTATGTATGTTCTCTGCCTCATACATGTAGCATTTATTCACCTGATGAAGGAGTAAGTATATACTCCGAAACGTTATGTTCCTCATTATAAAAACATTGACATCAATAATGTTTTCCCTTATATGCATCACTTCTTAATGCCCTTCAAAGACTCAATCTAGCTTTGATTTTAAACGTGGATATATTTGCGTAGAAAATAATATGACCGTGCCTATAAAGATTTGGGTCTTTGTCTACGTGAGCTTTTAGACATAAATTTTATGGCTAATGAAATTGCTAAATCTGCATGAATGAAGTACACTTTATATCAAGCTGTGATCTTTATTCACACTTTAGACATTCCTAATGGAGATCTGTAACTGAAGTTTTTCGTAATTTTCCGCAACTCTCACCTCCTGACCAGTTGAACTGCTCAGTGCATTCTGATGCCATTGTAAAATTCCAGGGTGCCCTTCTTTCTGTGATGTTTTGACGGATTGCGTTATGATATTGTCTGTTTGCTGATATTTAATATGTACATATTGTAAAATATTTACATGCAATGTGAACATGAGTGCGGACGCATGAATTTTAAGGTGGTTATTGTTATAGTTATAGTGCGATGGGTGTAGGGGAATGGTAGAAGGGTGTATCTATGTAAGCACGAATGCCGATACATGAGGTCGAATATAGTAGTTATAGTTCGATGGATGCTGGGGAATGGTGGGAGGATGGATTATGTATGTAAGCATGCGCATAGATCAATGATGGCTGACGTAGACATAATGAGATGATTGTAGGGATATGGTGGGGAAATGTTGTGTTTCAAAGGTCATACTGGCCAGGCATTCTACATATCTACTCGAACTACGTAGCCATTGTCATGCTGTACAATTCTTCTTTTTCTTCTTCTTCACACACCCCACACACACACAACACACACACATTAATTGTTTTATTAAATGTACCCTCGAGAGTGATTGAGAAACTAGAAATAACTGCCTTTGTTCTGTAAATCTCACCAAGTTTCAGCTTTCGCCTCTTCCTTTGAGGAGTGAGGTTTCACATTTGTAAATGATCTCTCTTATCTGTCTGTATCAACAACTTAACTGCCCTCACCCCCTGCAGTTTTCCCGTCCCATATTGCCAAGCAGGTGACCCACAAGGAGGAATACGGCCCTCCCTCAGTCTAGTTATACTGTGCCTAGCACAATACGTTGTGAATACGTAGCCTTGCTGTGGCCAAACGTTTTGTAACAATTTGGCAAACTTTGACATGTAAACAGCAAATATAATTCAGTTTGATTTCATCTTGATATATCAGTTGAATCCCAGTTGACCTGTGAAGATCCGGGTTAGTATAAGTCTTCAGCAACCCATGCATGTCGTTAGAGGCAACTATGCTTGTCTTAAGAGGCGACTAAAGGGATCGGGTGGTCAGGCTATGACTTGGTTGATGGATGTCATTGTATCTAAATTGCGTGGGTCGATGTTTGTGATATCAATCACTGGATTGTTTGGTCCAGACTCGATTATTTACAGACAACCGTCATATAGCGTGAATATTGCTGTGGGCGGCGTTAAACAAAGAACAACAAAAACGAAAAAACCCGGATCCTACTTATTTTGTGGATACCATAACAATATATCAAACCAATAGATCGTTTGAGCTAGCATGAATATCAAAAATAATGAGCAAGTCGATAGCAAGACCCTCTGTTGGTTCTACGTGAGATGTTCTTCATGAATCCTGTAAATCATGAAACTAATGCAAAAATAAGTCAGCTCATTATTGCGATCAAAGAACCCTGGCCTAAAAAGCGTCATGACGTAGTCTTGCAAAAATCACTGTAGACTCACAATTCAATAATGTAGTACTGGCTGATAGACTTTCGACCGAATAATATCATTTGCTAACTTCAACTGTTCATCTAATTTCCAATAATGTATGTTACATAGGTAATATGTTCATGGGCTTCTTCACTGAAAGTATAGTTTGGAGGATTATTTCAGTTGAGGATAAGTAACATATATAATGATGATATTATTATGATATTATTGTCATTATTATTTCTTCAGATTATTGAAAAAAGGTTATTATGTTTTCTTATTAAACATGGAGAAAGAGGTATTGAGATTGGTATTGAGATTGTGGAGATTTTTTGGCATCAACATTGCTAACAACCAGAAATATTGCACACGAAAGGATAATCATATATCATGACATTATCCTATGTCGAAGTCAATGATATTTGTGCATGCTATTGCTACATGATTGATTATGACATGATTACGTCATGATAAAGCAATGATAAA